AGGGGAGTGGAGTTTGCAGGAGATAATTAGTTTGCTTAATTGATTAGTGACTCTCTAAGACTCCTTGCCAAGTTTTGCAGATATTGGCCTGGCAGCTCTCCCAGCCAGATAAGGTCTGTGACTGTAAATCCTCCCTTAAAAGACTTTGCTGGATGTGAATGAGCAGAATTCACAGTAAATTAATAAAAGGGGTTTTTATCGGGACAAGGAGTTTGTTTCAGGTTTTTGGGAAGCCTCGGTCAGAACAGTAAAATCCGCAGAGACTCCATTCCCTTTACCTTGGATAGAACTACACACTCTGTGAGACTGATATTGTGGCATTCACTTTTGGTTGATCACACCATTCTGTTGGGTGATCAGATAACTCTGTCTTAACAGACAAGAGGCAAAATTTTAGGGGAGGGTCGCTCCCATCCCCCAAATTGGCATCACTACAAATGTCACATAAAGCAATATTAGGTGAATCCCTTAATAATCTTTCTTTAGAGGTTCATCTTGTTTTGGAAATAAAATTTTCTTCATCCTTAGATGTCACTGTTATTTCAAAAAGTGCAAATATCTATTGAGGTTTCGTCTGGTCATATTTTTTTTATGAGGGAGATTTGAGGGAACTCTGTGGCTTTCCAGATTCTATTGAATTAAAATTTCCAATTCCCAGCAGTCCCAGTTAGCATAGCCAGTAAGGAAGGATGTTCGGTGTTTGTCGTCCAGGAAACATCAGAAGGGTCATGCTGGGTGTCCTTTGTGTAGACAACTTTCAAGTTGTATTTTAAACAAAGAATGCATAACCTCTTGTGTTTCTTGGGATTCTAAGCACTTTGAATTACCATTAAACCTTGCTGTTCCTCAAGGCTTATTTGGATAAGATTAAGAAATACTGCTTTGTGATGCTTGTTGTTCTTTCTTTGTAGTATACTCCAGAACACGTAGCTAAAAATTTGCTAGTTTGCAATGGGGTGGGGATTCTTAAGTTTTATCTTTTTTTCTCCCTGCTAGTTTAACATAGCTTGATCAGGATCCAATTTGGGTGGGCCACCGGGACCAGAGGTTTTGTCTTTCGAGCTTTCAGACTCGTGCTGGAGCCCATCTTCAGGGAACTTCTGTCTAGCAGAGTGTGTACTTTGGGCTGATCTGTATGTGTGGTATTTATGGTACCTGTTGTATGTAGCTTTTTAAATGTTGATTGGGGTATTGATGACTGGTTATTAAATCATTGGCTGTTGTTTACTTGTGCTGGCAAGCCCTGACTGAGCCTGTACTTAAGCTAGTGGTAAATCAACACTCCTGTTGACTGACCAGTTTCCCAGGCTTCAATCACTTCCACAGCTGTTTTTGTTCCTGCCCATCCAACAATCTTAATAGCTGCAAAATTGAGTGTATGTCCTTGTTCATTGCATTGTGAGGCTACCAATGAGTTGGGATCTCGTTGTCTAACCGCTCACTTGCACCTCCCGATCTGTCCTACATAGTCACAGGGGCAATCCATGCAGGTAGATTACATTGTATTAGGATCAATTATTCACATGCCGACTGCTCGCTTTTTATTATATAATGAAAATGGGTTTAAGAAGCACTTTTCCACATGCATGTTAGGCCAAAAGAAGTGGGGAGTAACCTTCTGAATTTTGTAAAGAAAGAAAATAATAATAATAAAGCAACCACCCCACCCTCATTCCCCCCAATTTTCTCTGTTAAGAATAACTGATTCCTGGGTCAAAAAAGGGACAGCAGCTAAAATTACAATGTTTTGATAGTGGCCTTTAAATACCATAAATTACAGCATTGAATATAACATAGATTAGAGCTGTGGTGATGAACCTATGGTGGACCCCTCTCTGCGGGCACACGAGCTGTCACCCCAGCTCAGTTCCACCACGCATTTGTGGGTGTCTCCCGCCGGCCAGCTGATTTTTGGGAGTCTGCCATGCATGCGGGAGCCCCCCCCCCTTGTAGCCCATTTTTGGTCCCATGAGTCTTCAGGGAAGCCTGCTAGGTCCAAAACGGGTCACAGGGGAGTGGTAGTGATGTTCGCACATGCATGTTCAAGGGGCCGGGGCATGCGGGGTGTGTGTGTCACACATGCATTGCATTATGTGTGTGGTCATGCATTCTCTTTAGGCACATGAGGACAAAAAGGTTAGCATCACTGTACTAGAGGGGATGTATTTTTAATATGTTTCTCTTTTAAGGTTGCAGAAAATGGATCACATCTGTATCATTGGCAAACCAGAGGTTTCTGTCTTTGCTTTCAAGTCTGATTCATTTGACATTTACCTATTGTCAAACCTGTTAATAGCCAGAGGATGGAATCTTAATATTTTACAATTCCCTCGAAGGTGAGTTTCTGGGGTGTTTTTTTTTTTTCTCTCCACCACTTTCAGGTGGGGGAGGCAAAACGCTGTTCAAGCATCTAGCATCTAAAATTTTTGGATGGAGCAGACTCATGGCAAGTTCTGGACCACTTGTCCCCCACAGTGGCCAGTCAGAAATCTATGGAAACCCACAAGGAGGACTTCAAGACAAAACTTCCATACTTTGTTGCATCTCAATAGCTGGAATTCAGACGTCAATTGTTTCTGATCTTGGGCTGATTCACAACTGTCCAGCATACGTAGTGTCAGGGTTCTAACAGGTGTGGCAGGTCAAATATCCAAAAGAAAGATGGCTGCAGACCTGACTACTATTTTTTGGAGTATAAGATGCACCTTTTTCCATCAAAAAAAAAGGTTGAAAATCTAGGTGCATCCTATCCACTGAACATAGCATTTTTGCCTCCCAAAACCCCACACCTTTCACCAAAATGGCCATGCAGAGCCTGTAGGAAGCTTTTGGAGAGCTCCTGGGGGCTGGGAAGGGCAGAAATGAGTGAAAAATGGACCATTTTTTTGCTCAATTCCCCCCCGCCACCCAGGAGCATTCTGCAAGCCCCCAAAGGCTATTCATGCCTTTTGGGGGGGGGGAATGGCCCATTTTTGTGAAAAACAGGCAATTTTTGGGAGGTTTGCAGAGTGCAAAAACTTTTTTTAAAATTTGTCTCTTCGAAACCTTGGTGCATCTTATACTCTGGTGTATCTTATACTTCGAAAAATACAATAGTTTTGAGAGCCTTAATTCTCCATGATATTATCTTATTTATTTTTTTACAATTAAGTTGGTGGGCTTTCATTAGATATGGATGGGGCTTCCATAATTATTAGAAAGGGAGGAAAAAGAAAGGATTTCTGTCTATTTTCTCCATACCAGGAAATGCCTTTCCCACATCTATCCTGCAGGATATATACCAAAATTATCAGTTTTTGAAAAATAATGCTAGAGAAAGAGATACATTCTCCCTTTAGCTTTAGCTATTTTCTACGGTTTCTCATTCAAGAAAAATTCTTTCAAGAGATTATATTTATTCCAAGATATTTGGAATAAGTTTTATATAAAATTTGGGATTCCACTCTTTGGGATTTCAGTTGTAGCCCATTTTTTTTTCTGCCGCTCAAATGGAGCACGTGATGATGTGCATGCGTGCATATGCACTCACTGGCTGTTTACACGCCTTAGTTGCAAACCCCTCACAGCCCATCAAAGGGCCGCAACCCACAGGTGCGGGATGCCTGTCTTAAGCAACTTGTCATAATTTGAGGACTACCTATATTGAACTTGGTCAGATTTCAGTTTAAATTTAGTCAGTTCAATTTAAAACATATTGGAAGAGAATTGGCTTCAGAAATTACATCAAGTGAGAATATTATTATTAAGAAGTTCTGGTGAAGGGCATTTGGTATTGTGTTGAGAACACCCAAGAGATATTTATGAATGGCCTGTGCAGGGGTCGGATTCAGCAGATTCGGACTGGTTCAGGCGAACTGCATGTTAATTTTAATCTTGTTTGCTGAGCTGGTAGTTACAAGGACTAGCTGACCCCGGCCACACCTCCCCTCCCCTCCCAGGAATCCACACAGCCCATTCATCATGCCAGGTAAGTTCAGGGCTTGCACAGAAGCTCTGGGAGGGCGAAAAATGGGCCTACTGGACGTTCGGAAATTGGCCTGTTTCCAGCATCTGGAGGGACTCGGGAGCCTGCGGGAAGCCGTTTTCACCCTCCCGATGACTTGACAAAAACCTCTGGAGCATGGGGAGGGCGAAAAATGAGCCTACCAGAAGTCTGGAAAAGGGTTCGTTTCTGCCTTTTTTTACCCTCCCTGGGGCTTGAGGAAAGCCTCCAGAGCCTGGGGAGGATGAAAATGCCCTCCCCCCCATGATGCAGGAAACCGACAAGGCCACGCCCACCGAGCAACTGGGCAGAGAACCGGTTGTTAAAAATTTTCAATCCCACCCCTTGGGCCTGTGGTTTCTTTGTACAGTCATCTCTCTAGCAGTCTGCAGCTTCTCTCTGATTTCCTCTAATTCAATTAACCACTCAACAGAGAATACCAAGAATTTGGGTATTGTCCTTTTTTTTTTTTAAGCAACAGTGCTGTTAGTTTACCACTAAGAGAGAGAATCTTGCCCTTAAGAAATTATTGACAAGAAATTGTATCTCTCCTCCCACTTTGCTTATACATTTGTTGGAGAATTATGAAATTTCCTTTGTGCCCAACCTTGGCTAAGACTTTAAGATGACATGAAGTGAAACAGGCTTTCCAGAAAGCTGAAATTATAGTATAATAATATAATAGGCAGATTATGTTATTATTCAAAATCTACCCAAGGTCTCCTGTGTGTAATTTTTATAATAAATGCAGGAACAAAATAGCCCCTCCCTACAGAAAGTACACACTTCATTATAATACAGGAAAGAAACATGGTAAGCAATAACTTAATTGTGTGTTCAGATGTTGCAAAAATAGGAACCGGCACGTTGAGTCTATTTGTAATATGGATGTGAAATGTAGCTAGTGAACCAACATGATTTTTCATGCATTTTCCAGCTCTGGATAGAGTATGATCAAGAAAGAAAAGGTTCTGATTGTGATGAAAAGTTCACATTTTACCTTTCTCCCCTCTCTTTCCAAGTATTCATTTTTGCATAACGCTGCTACAAACAGAACCTGGGGTGGCTGAAGAACTGCTGAAGGACATCAGAGAGTGTGTCTCTGAGGTCATAAAGAATCCAAAGGAAAAAACCACTGGCATGGTAAAGGAAATTTTGCATTTTTCTTTTTGTCATTTGCTATTATGGAAACAGAGAGAGACAACACAGTGGCACTTACAGTTGGTAGAAAGCGAATAGGACTTAAACCCTAGATGTAGCCTGAAAAATCAGATTGGAACTTTGGGGACATTGCTAAGTTTACACCCAAGATCCTGTAATCCAGGGGTGTCAAAATGAAGACCCTGGGGCCGGATCCAGCCCCCGGGGTACTTAGATCTGGCCCATGGGACCACCCTAGAAATGGCAAAGCACTGGCCCGCAGTGCCCTCTGCCAGGAAAAATGGAGCTCAGTTGAGCTCCGTTTTCACTGGCAGAGATTACAGGCCTTCGCAACCGAAAACGGAGCTTGGGAATCCGTTCTTGCTGGCAGAGCACTTGGGCTGCCACAGGCGTCCCTGACATGAATGACATCGAGCTGGCCATGCCCACCCTGACCACGCCCATCTTGCCCCCCCCCCCAAAGTCAAACACAATCCTGAGGCGGCCCTCAATGAAATGGAGTTTGACACCCCTGCTGTAATACCTATATTTCAGCCGTTGGCCCAGTATTTTTATTTAGTTGAGGCTGGCGAGCCTGCTAAGAGGCATTCAAAGAGATGTCAGGTCAGAATGTAAATTCACACATTCCTTAATTACATCTGAATTAGTTGACTAATTAATTGCACGACATTTACTTTAGCTTATTGTTGAATATGTCCAGTGAGTACTAGGCTATTGACCAAGGCTGGTTAGGACCCAGAATATTTCTTTGTTTAGCATAGTTACTTGGGCTACCCTTCCCTTCCAGGTGTGAATCATGGAATTGATTAAAGAAATACATTATTTGAATATAAACTAGTTGGGGCAACTTCCTTCTCGAGCATTCGTTTACATTAGCATGGATTAGTTACGTTACGTTCAGAGAGGTCTTATCTAGGTGCACTACCATCTGGCGTGCACTGGATGGAAATTCAATAAAGGGCTTTTTTTCAGATTCTCTCTGTGTATAAGCATTTCACTTGATATTTCCTGTTATATCTTTATGTTTCAGCTTTCTTTAGAATTTCTGTAGGTCAGGGGTGTCAAACTCTTATTTCATTGAGGGCTGCATCAGGGTTATGTTTGACCTCTGGGGGGGGGCAGAGTGTATGTGGCCAGTTTGACATCACCCGTGTCGGGGGCGCCTGTGGTGGCCCGAGTGCTATGCCAGTGAAAATGAGTTCCCAAGCTCCATTTTTGGCTATGATGGCCTCCTGCAACCTTCTGCCAGACAAAACAGAGCTTGGGAGTACCACACCCAGCCCTTCCGAGCTCTGTTTTCGCTGGCAGAGGCACTGCAGACCGGTCCTTCGCTGTTTCCAGGGCGGTCCCGCGGGCCAAATCTAAGCGCTCTGCAGGCCAGATCCATCCTCCCTGCTCCCGGAACTTGAGTTTGACACCCTTACTTGAGTGATCTGCCCTTACTACACAACCCCTTTATATCTAGGCATTTGATAACTAAGGCAATCTGCTCTATTTCAATGTTTTAAAATGTCCCTTCATGTTAATATGCTCCTGATTTTTATATGGCTTATGGTTTAGATTTAGATTTATTAACATTTGTATGCCTCCCACTCCCATTGGGACTCTGGGCGGCTCACAGACAAGACAAAAAAGAAACATATTAAAAAATTTAAAATAAGGATACAAGTATTAAAATTTCACACCATGCATATTGTTTCATAAGCACTGGATTTTATCGTTAGCTCCTTTGGGCATTATTTATGTAAATACAAGTAACACCTTTCAGAAGTCATGTGGCGTGGAATAAGCCTTAGCTGATCGTTGTGTTCTGTTTTTTTCTTTTCAATTTATAGAGTGCAATCTATGGTCTGGCGCAAACCATTCCTGATAGAAACCTTGTTTCGGAAATTGTTGGCGGTTATTTGGACAGCCTCTACAGCACAGGTGTAGAGTCCCCCTTGACTGATACGCACATGAATGGTTCTCCAAGCCCCCATTGATTTTTAATCATGTATCACAATTGTTGGATGAAGACACACTAAACAATTCAAAGGAAAGGTAATATCACTTGGGGGTGTTTCTTCTGCAGATGCAGCGATCTGTTGGCATAACATTCCCTTTTAGGTTAAACACAGGTTCAACTCCCCCCTAGCTTTAGATTGGCTGTTCAGATCTGTGAAACGTCAGGAATTCTCTCTCTCTCTCTCTCTTAACTTCTGATAATTATTTGTATATCTTAATGACGACTCAACTGCTGCTTCTAGTCGTCCAAGACACGGCAAGCTTAAGGGCAATGCAAGTCTGGTCCATCATTGTTCATGCTCAGGTGTTTGGAATTACTTCAGTGGACGGATACAGATATCTTGGCTGACGTTCACACCGAGCAGTGGATTCAACAACAGGTTGCGCCTCCTTCACAGATGATAGGATAAAGTGTTTGGTTCACTCTGTGGGAATTTGCTCTGATTGAGAGGAAGTGGATCAAAGGGGAAAAAGGGACACTTCCTTCTTTCCTTGTATTTTTGGGGTGCTTTTCTCTTTTCCCTAATTTTTTTTGTTATTGTGACATATCTCCCCCCCCCCCAAGTCTTTGAGCCATGGAGATCCACGAAGGTACTAAGGATAAAACGGTTCTTCCACATCTACTTTCTGTGTTAACTACCGTAGGAGAAAGCAAATTGCATTTCTTCAGTGTCACTGAGAAGTCGAGATGTTCGGCTCCTTCAACTGCTCCCATTCATAGCTCTGCCATTGTGTTAAACGCCTTTATGGACTCAAAAGAGAACCGGGGACTCAGAATGTAATTATTTGTAGGACCTCCCCAGGCCAGTGCTCCTTTTCAGGCGTTGCACTGATTTATCAGACCCATTCTCAAGAGAGCACACACAGATTTGCCTTAAATGCGGAGAGCATCTCTTAACTCAAGGAGCCAAGCAGATGATCCAGTCAATAGATGATCACCTCCGTTATGGTACTACGCTGAAAATAACCTCAACCTCAGGTATCATATAGTCCTCCTCTTCAGTGTTTCATGACGTCTCAGTTCAGTCCACCTGTATGGTAGCACTTTGCCACTGCGATTGGGATACCTGGCCATGGTGGGCGTGGCCTAGTTGGGTTCCTGCACCATGGCGGGGGGAAGGTTTGCCCTCCCCAGCTCCAGAGGCTTTCCTTGAGCCTCAGAGAGGGCGAAAACGACCTCCCTGGGCTCCAAAGACCCTCTGAAGGCCAGAAACGGGCCCGAACTTCCGGTAGGTCCGTTTTTCGCCCTCCCCAAGCCTCTGCTCATGCCGTGCACTTACCTGCATCCAAAACAGGCCGCGTGGGGACTCCTGGAAGAGGAGGGGTGGGTGGGGCCAACCAGGAGTGGGATTTGGGGGTTCTCCAAACTGCACAGAGGTTCTAGAGGTTCTCCTGAATCCCTGTGAACCCCTAGCAGCCCACCCTGAGAACAAGGGTCTCCAACCTTGGCAACTTTAAGACTTGTGGACTTCAACTCCCAGACTTCATCAACCAGCTGGCTCAGGAACTCTGGGAGTTGAAGTCCACAAGTTTTAAAATTGCCAAGGTTGGAGACCCTTGTTCTCAGGGTGGGCTGCTAGGGGTTCACAGGGATTCGGGAGAACCTCTAGAACCTCTGTGCAGTTTGGAGAACCCCCAAATC